CGGAATATTTAGGTCATCAACTCATCATTCTATTAACAGCTTTCGGAATAACATACCATAATAACCCACTGTGTACTACAAAATGATAAGCAAAAATACCCCGAAGAGCGCGATTTATTGACGGAAAAGGTTATTTCATTTGAAAATGTTTGCATTGCGAAATTCTCCAGTTCGCCATTCATTGTACATATCGCGACTAATTAATAATCAAGCACCCTCATACCGATCGGAATGATCGGCTTTTATTATTGGCAACTATAAAAGGCTCGAGAAGTTGCTGTCGCCCTTTCACAAAATCTCATTTCATTCCAATAGGCGCCGCGCTTCGGCGCGGACGCCAAACATGAGCAGTTTATGTACCCAACAGGACGCTCATATGATAACATTCTTCGCAAAAACCTGCTGTGATATTCTTAAATATAGAAATAACATGTTGTATAGTAAGAAGAAAAAATTAAAAACATACCACTACTGTGTGACCATACAAACAATCACAACTTGTAACAAGTTTAATTGTTTTGTCACGGGTCGTTTTATTTATTATATTAATTGTTCATTTTGCCGTGCACTGTTCGTCAATTAGTCGCGGGAAAAGAAATCTTAATGTCCGCGCATGCGTCGATTATCGTTTGTCTCCGTTGCGTCTGTTATCGTCTGCTATTGTATTGTATCAGATGGGTCTGTAATGTACGCTTATTAGCAGAAATTCACGGAAACAGGCGAAAAAATTCAACTATGTCTGTATCTCGTGCAATTTTGTGAACTGTTTGTGTATGTCCAATCGTTTTGTACGTTGTATGAAAGAGTTTTGAGAGAAAGTTTTAGATTGGTTTTAACATTTTCTTTCTTCCAATTTCCCGCGAACTTTCCTTCTCCACTTCAATTTGTCTTTATTCTCTTACGAGTTTAGATACACAGTTGTACTTTCATTGATTCTATAAGAATTTAATAGAATTTTTGATAGGAAATAACTTATTATTAAGTTATTTACTTTTTGTATTGAGACGCTGTGGTAAGATTATTTTCATTTTATTCATTTACTTGAAATAATTCTTATTTGCATCGTTCAATTGTTGTATTGTTGTATTTTATGTAATACTATATTTTAATTAACTTGTATTATAATCATGTATTTATGTTTTTAGGCTTTTTCTTCGTATTATATTAAATTGACGAACCTACGCCAGGAGTTTCTATTATTAATTCTACTCTGTGACAGTTTCAATATTTTAATACAAAGTACAAATTATAAATTTCTAATAAATGAACTGGAAATTATTTTTTTTAATAAGTAAGGTTTTGCGACTAGGACTAATTAACACAGTTTCATTTATTGTACAAGTATTACATTTCAACTATGTTTCCTTGTTTTAATCAATTATTCATTAACAAATTATGGCAATAAAATTTTTACTGGTACTTTGGATAATTATTTTTACATTTTGTTTAACTACATATTGTACAAGTAGTTTCCTGTGTCAACGATTCTCTTGTCTCACATAATTCTGATATAGAATGACTGTGTCAGAAAATATGACTTTGCTTGTATAAAGTGTTACAGAGATAAGACCTAAATAAAATAGAATATATTAAACAAAACATAGCTACTGGCACGCAACGTAAAATATTTTGCTTTTACACCAGTCACTCATAGCTATTTGAAAGAGCAATGTATAGTATGTGATAAGGTAGACTTCTTAAACAAAGCCGACTTATTAGATGATGACACGTTACTGTTTATATTAAGATGCTCTCTTGATACTATCGTTTTATTATTATTTTAAAAGGGTATATAATCAAAGGTTAATTTGTATTGTCTTATGTTGCTATTTTAATTTCGTAAAATCTACACGAAGATCTAATTATCTGCTTCATGTGTTTTCTTCTTTGGTTATCGGCAAACAATGAATATTTTTAGTCTTGTTCCCTGCATACGTTTTCTTATTTAGAGTAAGGGGACGGAACTCCTGACTATGAATGTATAAGATGTAATTGTAGATTCTTTTTAGAAAAATAAGTGCGTTGGTTTACCAAATGTATACTTTAAAATTTTGCATTCAATCATCATTTGTATAAGAAATGAATACGATTAAAACATGAATATGTTAACAACCTTTGAATTTGGAACTGTCCATTAAGTATTAAAGGGATTCCAGAATCAAAATACTAAAATAGGCTACCAACAACAGCATGCATAGAGTTTGGTCGGATAGGCTGCACTTATAGGCTGGACTCTACAATAGTCTCACAAATTAATCACTTTTGATACCAAAAGGGTAATATGCTGCAAGGTCTTAAACTCTTTTTTTACATTTTTTTCATCATTTGTGAGAAAAGAAGACGTGCTCTTGTGACAATATAAAAAGGGCAGTGATTTTGGAAAGTGCAACATCTTTCAAGCCCATATCCCTGACTTCATGCGCATTAAGTCCTCAAAATTAAAAGTATTGGTATAGTTGGTCCAAAGAGACCGGAAAATAACTAAAATGACTAAAACTTAGATGAAGGACGGGATTTTATTTTACAACACAGCACACGACACTTTCTGATATCTGGAACGGAGAGATCAGTCGAGAGTAAGGAAAGTAAACAAAAATATGCAGACACATTTTTATTGGGCTAGAAAATTAACATTAATGTATTCAGTAGTCAATAGTTCTATCAAATTGAAATTGCTTAATAATATACATGTTTCTTTTGGTAGCATCATCTTTTCCACCCAGTTTGACATAAACTCTATATCATCTTTTAAGATGTTTTGTAAGTGTGCTAGCAAGAAGACTCCAAGGTGATTCTTATTTTCATTTTATTGTTTATCTTTTTATTTTATTTATTTATTCATTTTTTAATTATATTAAAATCTAAGTATATCTAAAAGATTGAAGACTGACTTTAATTTAAATATATTTGTCATTTGGCCTCTCATCAATAACTTTACCTTCAGTAATATCTCCAACTTTCATTTCGGTCAGGCGATTTAATTGCTTGTTTTGGAATTTACAGTAAGATTTGTTGCAATAATTGTAATTACCCTGTATAATATATCAAACTCGATCATTTTTTTGTAAAGAAAGACCCTCATGTTAATATTGAGTTTTTCAGTTCAAACAGCGGCGTTTTGATGCCGTGGCTAGGATGGCAATAGCAAATAACGACTTTTCGCAGATCATAACGACGATTCTGGATTATCAGTCAACTTGACATGTTTCACTTTCTAGCACAATCATACGTTTCTAGAATGTTTGATAGCTTAGGTTGGGAAAAATGTTATGTATCTGCATATATGTACACTGAATTTAAATTAAAACATGTGCTGTCTTTCGATGACGATACACAACATTTTAAAAAATGGATTGACATGTCAAACAGAATGGCGTATCCATAGTGTTAACAAGCGGACTGTTGTGGTTAGTAGATTAATATTTAGGCAGACGCATTTTGTTTGTTATGATCAACTGATCCATCTAAATTAAAGAAACTGTAGCGTATCACATATCACTTTTTTAAAAAATATATAACATTTGAATGATTTCCATTACAACGTGGACAATTCTAAAATCAAACGACATTTCCTGGCTTTAGAGATTTTATTCGAATTTGTTGGATTTTTTACAATGATCACCAAAGTCGTCAAGAGTTTAAACATTTTCATGCTCCTCATAGCACATGTATTTCCGTAATTTGATTTGTAAAGTGAATCAATCTGTCCTAAACAGAATTGCATAAAATGTGTTTTTTATTTAATTATTGTTATTATTCTGAAAATGACTGTTATAACGACGCCAGAAAAGTAGACAAAATTTCGAATTTCTCATGGTCGAGTGATGCGCGGAAAGCAGGTTTTTGGGCATGAAAACAAACAACGCATCTATTTTTTCGACGATGGTAATAATACAACAGAGAGTGGAGTCGCGGCTGCAGGACATGCGATTCCAAAGTCTAATCATTCTATTAATTGCAATACATTTTGTTTAGACTATTCATTTACAATTAATAACTAATGGAGCAAATAAAAATTCCATACAACATATTTAATATACATTTACATTTGTAATAACGCTAAAATACATTTGCTGTAATTACTGAATATTTTTGTGGTATACATGTACATACTTATGATCTTTTTACATTGAGGTTTTATTGTTGATTAATATCATGAAGGTAAATTACCTTAAATAGATATTTTTCGCACATAAAATGAGGCAGTGTTGTGTTGCAAGCACATATAACAAGAGTTTTGTGTGAAAATTGTACGAAATGAAAAGGTTATCGTGATCTTTACTAATCGAGAGATTTTGCACTCGTAACATAACTTAAGTAAATAAGGAAATTACAACGTAACTAATATATAAGATTTTAATTTTCATAAGGACTGATATAAACATATTGAATAACATAAGAATAACGAAAAATGACATACAAAAGAAATACTTGTGTCTGTTACTATTTTTATTCGTAATTACTTTTTATATGTTAGTAAGAAAATGTATGACATATGTATATTACAAAAGTATTGAAAAAATAAATATAAAACCTAGATATTTACACTTTTATTTCATTTTATAATTTACATAGTGATAATTATGTGGTTTTGCATCAGCTGATATTTATTTTATATTACATAGAAATGGTCCTGGTTATCAAATTAATCATGAAATTAATATATTTTTCTATATATGCTTTATCACTTTCTTTAAATCAAAATTGTGTACTTTACATAGCTAGCCCTATCTCGTCAATTGATTTAAAATTGGTAAAAGACTCCTTGAGAATTAGAATTAAAAAAAACGACTTATTCAAGTTTGCCATTCTGTACTTTTAGAGCAATATCTGGGAATATTTTAATTGCTTTGATGGATGTCATGTAATGACTGAGAAAAAAGTGTTCTCTAATTTTTATTATACTTGTAATACTTTAATTTAGAAAAATATTAAGAAGTGGGTGAATATTGCTATGTTACTAACCAGAAGTTATATCAAGAAGAATGGAAAGATTAAAGAATGGTTTGATAAATTTTTATTGATAGTAACAATTTGAAGACATTTCCATGTAACTATTTAACAACACTACTTGAACAGTTCACGATTTCGACAATAATTTAATATATTCTGTTCTGTACATAATATTGTTTTCCAATCTGTTAAAAAGTGTCATTTTAAGCTGTAAATTTACAGATGTGAACATAAAACGCTTGTGATGATATGACCATTTTCCATCTTCCATGTTTAACAACCGCAACCAGCAATCTGTTAATATACCAAAACAACAAGTTCATGTTTAAAAATGTTGGCCATTTTGCATTATCCGAGTCTACATTTCTATAATTGGATTAACGACAAAAAAAAAAAAACGAAAATCCAAACAACTTCTATTTCAACAGTTTTAAAGAAAACCTGATAAACACAAATAATCTCCCATCCACTTTCCAAGAGGGCATAGTATTAGTTATAAAGATATTTAGCAGTCTTTATAATAAAAACGGTTGTTTATACATGTACATATATACCAAGAGAAAAAAAAAAACTGACAAATAATTTACAACGAGTTTACAATTGTTAAAACTCCATATATTAGAGAAATTTCTTCATAAATTGCGAATAAAAAGCGACGTGATGAACGAGAAGTATTAAAAAATTACGATCAGTATAAACTAAACGGACATAGCTTTATTCCTAGTATGTTTATATAGAAAAATCATAACAGGAAAACTACATGTAGAAGTCACTCTTTACCAATAATTGGTTAGTTTCGAAACTATTAGTACCCCTGTAAAAGTTTATTACTTGCAATAGTAGGATGTTTAGTATTATAATGTTACTTTATGAAAAAACAAAGCATAACAATTTCAAACTTTCGGTATTTTCAATCCAAACAAACATTGACAAAATTGCATTTAGTTTTTTTCAAGACACGCATTTGGTTATACCTTTTTCCGGATGTGTGAACAAAGTTTGATAAAAAAAGCAAATAAATGTTTCTCTTTGGGGTATTTAGTAGTCAGTTTCATACAAAGAAAGCTAGAGAAAGTTTATACAATAAATAAGAAATTTCCAACGTATTAATATAAATACCATTATTTAATTGTCGACATTTCTTTGTGATTCTTGGTGACTTATACAGCTTTGCATTCTAGACAGTTCCATCTATAAAAAATATAATATAGATTTAGAAATTTGTAAATACATTAGATTGTCGTTCACATGTGAGATGTGACTAAATATCAACAAAATTCACTGAATGCAGCCCCTCAAATTCCTATCGAGTGATGCATCCCTAAGGTTACCAAACAGGAACGTAACATAACACTTAGAATCGTAGAATGGCATCAGAATTATTAATATTGGAAAATAATACGAACAGAAAAAATATACTTATTTTCATTATGTTAAGACTTATTTTCATTATATTAAGCCAATAAAATGAGAACAAATTCAGTAAAAAAAAACTACATTCAGAGGGGTTATTTCAGAAATTGTTCACGTAACTTCATTATTAGCCTTTTATCGGAAGTGAAAAAGTGTCAATTTTTCAGTCTTTACAAATTTCTTACAACGAACCTTGACGTACTCACTCTTCATGTAATAAAGGAAATAAATGATGCCAATTCAGACCTGTTAAATAAGCACGTAGTTAAAGTTTCAAAAATATCGTCCCTTATAAAAGAATGAATGATTAAAGATGGCGATTTAGATGAATTTACCTATCATAATATTCCTTTTGTTTGATCTATATTCACAATAAAGCGTATCCCTTGTTTCTTAGAAGTCATTTGAATACATTATCTTTCTGGTAACTTGGCGACAAAATGTTTTAAGATGCTTAAAAAATTATATTACAAATGCATTTGGGAACCAAAATGAACACTGGACAGATGGCCAAGCGGTACAGGAACATAAACATATGTTACTGTATGTTGCTGAACCATATGCCAGATACGATTCGATGAAATACACTGTTAAACTATAAAGCAGTTGCACGCTATTTTGGTCCGCTACTTGAATAACTTAAATCATGTATATTATTGTCAAGAATAGAGTTTATATCCGAACACTTTGTAGTTGACATACATGGCAGCATACGAGTTTTTTTTTGAAAAAAATTTGAATGCAACAAGGCCAATATCTCGCTTTTAACCACGCTTTGCACAAACTATGTACATGAATAGCATAGATGGTTATGTAAGCTCTCAATTGATACAATAAATGTGTAAATCAGTTCCAGTGTAGCTTTGACAATAGCTCTTTTTACTCTTTCTACTCCTGTATACTGAAACCAAATATGGTTGGTTCTTTCAAGAACCGCTGTATTCTTTGTATACATGCGAAAGACGTATTTAATGAAATATGTCGTGATTTTTGGGAACAATGACCTTATTCATCTGTCACACGGTGGTATAAGAAATTAAAAAAAAAGTTTATGGATTCAGTAAAGCTGCATCTCATGCACACCGTCCGAAAACTGCATCTTCGTCAAAAATGATTGAAAAATAAAGGAATTGATTGCTACTGAAACAACTAGGCAAATAGCTAAATGCGTTGATATCTCTGTAGGAGAAGCTCATACAATTAACAGACGTGATTTGAAAATGAGTAGAAGGATAAGTGCCAGATGGATACCCCGACTCCTTACAAAAGAGCAAAATCTTGCTCGGGTAAGATTCTTCAAACAATTGTTGAAACAGTTCTCTAAATACAACAATCGATCTTTTTGTAAATATCATCACTGGCGATAAGGCGTGGGTTCACATTTATGAGACCAAGCCAACGATACATGCCAAAATACAGGCAACCAAAGGACGGGACGTCAAAGACCTTGCGTAACAAAACGCACCATGATCGTCAAATAGGTCATGTATGTAAGTGTTTTTACCAAGTCCTGCCGTACAAATTGTCGTACCAAAGGTTAACTTTTTTAAGTTTTACAAGGGCAAGGTCTTTCATAAATTAAAGAAATATTTTAAAAACCGTCGACAAGCAAGTGGTCTTCGTGGTGTCAGATTGTTGCATGATAATGTTTCGTCACACACAAACAGGCCATTGTACGAGAATATCTAAAACGAGCTTCCGCAACATCTTCATTCGCCAAACCTTACACATTGTGACTTTTTCCGATAACCGAGGCTAAAAAACACCTTGTTGGAAGAAAATCTTGGTTCGGCTATTTTCCAGTGTCTGAACAGTATACATGGAAAATATAAGGGAAACGCATTTAAAAAAAATGGATGAAAAGACTAAAACTTTGTATATCACATGATGGTGAGTATTTTCAAAAAATGAGATAATTATTTTGGCACTGTTTGTTAAGCACGTCTGAAAATTGACCAAGTTGCATTCATAATTGACACTCCTCGTATTAGAAACCTATAATAACAAAGAGGTTTATAAAATTGTCCTTATAAACACAGAATATAACCAGACGGGTTACGAGTACTAGAAAAAAAACTGGTCATGTGGAGAAATCTGTAGTATTTGAAAAGACTTTAAACATTTGTTTATTTTAACGAAATAATTACCTGTATCAGATTTTCTAGACCAATGCGGAAGTCATCAACTGGCAGACAAGCATTTGGTGCCAGCAAAACAGCGTTTATAAGTTCTGCTGCAGACCTTTTTGATAATATTCTATTCAAAGAATCAACTGACTTCATTCTATCTTGTGACAATGACATCGATGCTGATGTAGATATTGTCACTATAAATATAAGTTTACAGACGGAACTTGTAAATCTTGCCATTCTGGAATGAAATAGAAAGAGTCATTAAGCGAATCATTTACTAAACGCAGGTACAGAGAGTAGTTTAATCATAATTTATACGAAGGTTCACAACAATTATTTTTGTATATGTTAGATCATTTGCCATTTTGTTTAAGTATCAAAATATATGAAATGATAATGAGTTGAAAAAAAAAGGTTTCGGACAACAAGGCGACGACTGAAGATCATTTAATATAAAACAATTGGACTTTCATTTTGATCATAGACTTTCATAAAAATATTTGATTTTAATTTCAATTTGATTTCGTTAATCATATAAATTATTTTCTTCTCTCGCACTTTTACTGCTATTTTAGATTATTTCTATTTTGATTATTGCAACTTTAAGTTTGTAACAGCCAAGGTCAGCCAAAATCATATTTCATGTAACGGCGTCATATTACATAAATTATGTTGGTGCGACGTAAAACAAAATGAACAAATTCTAAATATTCTTTTTTAATATGAAATTCATGTCACTCTGGCAAAATTTCTGTTTCACTGAACAGAGCAGTAAGATGCTGAAACAATATTTTGTGTAAAACTGACCTTGAGAGCCAGCAGTTGTCTGTATTATGTAAAATATCTTTTAATATGTGATATATTCCAGTATTTAAAAAAAATGCAATGTAACACCAAACGATGATTGGCTAAATTTATAAAAGAAACAAAACAAATAATCAGTAGTCCACATCAGTCATGTATTATTGTTAAAGTAAATTTAGTTAATTGGAAATGAATTCGCTTTTAATTTTAGTATAATAAAACGAGAATATAGTCAACGCTTATCTGTAAAACCATAATTAAATGTCTTTTCTCATATTATTATTATGAAAATATACATGTACCTATTTCACTATTAAATCAGGAAAAAACATCAAAAGAAATACAAGTATATAACTTACATGAATCCGATTGTATCTGAACTTTTGATTGTATCTGAAAATTCTATCTATTTAACCGTCGTAACTGAAGTTGTCTTCACTTTTATACCTTACCTATCCAATAAGATTCCAGCTCTCGTTATAAGGCAGTCACACCCAATGTAGATGTTTATTAGCTTAATCAAAGTGCTGAAAGCACTGGATGCGACGAACATGAAAACGGTTGTCGAAAACAAACCAAACATCAGTCATGTTGTACCATGAAATTTATGCCAGAGTTTTATTGGACTTGGGTAGTGACCTCTAATTATCCAAAACATGTGTTAGGTTTATATTTTCTAATTTCTTTTTACAACTGATGTTTTTGTTAAAATTTTCATTATATATGTCGTTTTGAAGATAAGTGTTGCTTGCAAAACTTAAAGCAAGAATTCTAACTTCACAAAAGAGTAGTTACTCAATCTAAACCTATGTTATATTCAAGTGGTTCAGAGAATAACCTCCATTTATAGTCCCGAAAACATATACATCTGTATTTAATTACAAATTAATGCCTTCAAGTGCTCTGAAAATTTATGCTACACACTAAGCCTTAAAGGGCTTTAATGAGGTGGTATGGCAGTATTGGAAATTATATCTCGAGAACTAATGTTTCATGAGATATAGGTTTAACCCAATGACATGTACTCGTACGTAAAATTTCATATCCTTTGCTCTCTCTGTTTTCTCAAAATAATTATTTTAATTGTGGAATATGACACAAAATTAAAGCATTGCACCACTGTTGACTCAAATCAGAATAAAATAGCACAAACATATGGTTTTTAATTTATTTTTGAGTATATTTCTTAATTATCTTTTGCATATAATAATGCTTTATGTGTTCCAGCTCATCTATGTAAGAAATTCAAATTATTTTGTTTTAGGCTATTGGTCATCAGTGGAGCTCCTTTGACCCAAATTTTCCGAGCTTACAAATTAAAGTCTAATAATCAGTCACAATCAATGTCAGAATAGTGGTCACTAGATAGTGACCTATAGTTATGTTAACGAAAACATGTATAAGATAAAAGAAAATACTTTAAGTTCATAAAGGGCCATAATTCAATAAACCCCACCTTGAGTTACGGGTTTTGTATCAATTTTATTTTAAATGTGACATCCAATTATGATCCCGAAGACATGTATTAAGTTTTAAGTGAATATTGTATACATGCACAGTAATCTTCAATGATGTTACATGGAAAACTTTAAGCAGGATGTCTTTGGTTCAAAATGGTCAATACTTCTTTCAAAAACCATGCTAGAGTTATTGGCATTGGATCTCGTATTACGGTGATCTAAGAAAAAAATTTTGAAGTTACAAGCAAATATTTTTGGTGGTTCATAAAATTTGATGCTGTACATGCTAAATGCTGCTAAAAATCATCAGGCTCCAGACTTTTTTTATTTAAATATATTTATTGTTTTGTCAAGTAACAATAAACCAGTCTTTTTGAAAACAAATGACATGAAAACTTGCAATATTCTGAAGTCTGTTTTTTGCATTTCTCGTCAAACATGATTGTTTTTTATGAAAAAGAAATATTTTCCTCATTTTAAATCAATATGGTGAAACAGTCTATAAATATTATACAGACTGTAAAATAGGGCGAGAGTATGTTATTTGAATACTCGTACTATCTTAATATCACATTAGTTTATTTAATATGGAAAATGGAATTAGTGGTAAATTCAATTGTATTTCCCTATTCATTTTAATTTGATACAGTCTAACTTCATTATTCAAATTGATGTAGACTGAAAATTTACAATCGAAGGGAATCAGAATATAGTGACAGACGCCAACTATCCAACTTTGTCCATACGCAAATCATAGCAAAAGTACCGTTTACAACACGATTGTTTCGATTTTTATAACCGAGAAAAGTAAATGAACAACAATAGATGCGTAAATGTTTTTATTGGTATGGAATACACAAATATTTGAATTTTATTCCACATTATGTAGCACATACAATGTAATATACATGAAAATTATTGCTATTGCCGGCCACCTAATTGTTATCGCTGAAACCCAATCTCAGGATCATCACTTCGTCTGTTTCGTCTTACAGCCAGGATTCATTGCTCTCCTAAAACTAAACCAAAACTAAAAGTACATTGTATTTCATTTCATTGCGTAAGCATCTCCCATTGACATTAATTATTTACTTAATACATTTATGTAAATTCCACATTTCGTTATGTAAAGATACTTTGATTAAATATATATAATTTTCGTATCTATATTACGTAGTTTTCGTCATAATATTAAACAGATTGTCGTCATTGCATGGTCATCTTCAATAGAGGTGTAACAGCAGTCGCATAGCATTTTCAATTACAAGCCGAAACAACAGTTTTTGTTGAGAAACAACCAGGTCGACTTACATCTAGTGTGTGAATAAAATTAGAAGGTAAAGAAAAACACTATCTGCCTGATTACATTTTTTATTAGTGTGTGATATCGTGTACATTGTCACGATGTGTATATACATCACATCACCTCTTAGGTCAATCTTGTGCTTTTTACAATGTAATATATTGCAAGTGTCGATTGCTTTTTAAACTTCACAAGTTGATTTCATGCACTGGGAAAGAGAACGATAATGTGTATTGGTATATAATTGGAATATCATTCCTTCGTTCTTTCTTGTAGCTTATGATACTTTATTCTATCAATTTCAATTTTTCATTGTATCAAAGACCATCCACTATAGAAGAAGTCACATTAACAACCGCTTTGATGCTATTTTTCAAGTTGGCGTTTTTCCTTTATGGCAGCATCCGAATGAAAAAAGAATCGGTATTGGCACGCAATGCAAAACAGTCGCTTACTTTTTACAGCAGTCACTCATGGCTAATTAAAATAGCGATGTATATTGTAGGTGATATGGAAGACTTCCTAAATTCTACATTTTTCGTGTAATTGTGTTGTGTTTAATGCTTCCGAGGGATCAAACGTTTTTCTAGATACATATTTATATTTTATAACAGCAGGTGTCAAGTTCTGTGTGGCAGCTGTAAAAAATTGCCCCTTTTTTACTTTTGTGTTGTTATATTTTTCTGGTCCTTCGGGATCATTGATTCCATTACTTGAAAACTGAGTACCGTTCAAGCCAGCGCTAAGGGGGGGGGGGGGTGAGGGGGGCTGTTGCACTGTTGTACATTATCATATACAGATTTAAACTGATTTTGCAATTTTCATGTTATTTTATTGTGCCTTACGCTTTCGAGGGATCACACATTTTCCAGATTTTTATTGGATGGTGACAAACATAAAAGATCTGGTGTTTTATTTACACACATGTTACCGTTTATATTTAGATGATTTCTTGACACTATCGTTTTATTATCATTTTTAAATGGAATATAATTCAAGTTAAACTGACGTATCTTCTGTTGTCTTTTTTATTTCGTTAATTACCTACAAGAAAATCCAACTATCTTCTTCTCATGTTTTCTTTTTGGTTATCGGCAAACATTTAAAGTATTAGTCTGATTCCCGGCATATATTAACTAACTAAGTGTAAATGGAAGAAACTCCAGACTATGAATGTATAATATGTAAATGAAGATTTTTTTTATAAAAAAAAAGTATATTGGTACATGTATAATAAAATAATACTATTTAGTTTGTGCATTCAACTGTCTTTATAAGTATTAAAAAATGTATACACTTTTACCATCCTTTGAATCTGGAACCGTCCATTAAAAGTTCAAGGGATTTCAATATCAAAATACAAATATTGGGCTACCAACAAAGTAGTCAGAGATGTGAAGTGCAACAGCAGGCATAGAGTTTGTTCCAGCATTAGGAACATTGGTAAATGAATGTCGGGTCATGGAGGGTATTTAGTTAAAGAAGGCTACTAGATTCAGTAGATTTTTGCCCTCTATGACCGGCGTCAAAACATGTTTAACAACGTCATACAATATCTTTATTTCTGTTTTTTCTTTCTCTTTATTGTACGTTTGTTTTCTAATTAAATTTCCATTTCAACATTCTCCTTACCATTTCTATCAATTGGTGTAAACAGTGTCTGTTACACTCTTAGTTATTTTGTGTTATTAACTTAAAGTTGTTTTCTAATTTCAATATGTGTATTCAAGTCTATTTTAAGTTCAATGTTGGATTTACATTTCAGTTTTATAACAGAATGGTCAGTTTCAGGGTTCTATATTTATTTTAACATTATCACTTCAATGGTTTATTTGAGTACAATGTCATTTATATATATATTTAATTCTCCAATGAATTCCAATACGTTTTATTCAGACTTATCACTTACAATTAATTAATACTACATTGTTCTAATGACGAAAAAAATATAAGTTAAAAATATATGTTTTAACAAATAGTTGTACGGTATATATACTTTATTCATTTTTTACGTAAGAGTTTTATTAGACGCCGCGTGCACTTGTTTTTTGTGTTTGTTGTTGTTGTTTTAACAACATCACAGTGTTTTCAAATTTTCTGATAAAAAATAGCTTTTCTGATGTACAACATGTCACCGAGCTTCAAGGACTTAAAATAAACGTTTAACTGAAGTAAAAGTGTCATGCTATTATATCATACTATTTTTATCTAATTTTATTTACCTAATAAATAACGTGCCAATGAGTCAGTCTAAAGTCGACCCTTCTTAAATTTAACGGTTGAGAGAGGAAACGACTGAGGCAGTGTCAATCACTTCATTTGCTCCGCCTCTGTTGAAGTACAGCTTCACCTTAAATGTCGCAAAATTTAATATGATGCTTTGTATGCTAGCATTTAGTCTTCTTTTACGGAGGGAAGGGAACCAGGACAACTCAATATCACTACCCTACAACATTAGGATGCAAGTTACAAAGCCTAAACCATGCCCACTATCAAAGAGGCGGTTTTCTCTCAACCGTAAAAAGTACGCTTAACCCAACCATTACGTTTCAGACAGACCTGTCTGTAGTCTAATGGCGGAAACCAAATTCGGGTACGGAAAAAGGTATAACTTAAAAACGCAACGATATTGATACGGACGAAAAGGAAATAGTTTTGCAAAAGAAGAAAAATGT